AATATTAAATTTTTAATTTGTTTATAATGTAATACATATAATATTATATATTAAAAATAATTTAACAAAATATTAAAATATGACTATAAATTGTGAGTTATAGAGTTTAGATTGTAAACCATAAAATTGAAAAAATAAATTATGTAATTTATACTGTAAAATCACTCTTCAATTAAAAATTATAAAAATATTGTAAATTGTAAAAAATAATTATGGAAAATTGTTGTATGAAAGTGTTGAAGAGTATTTCACATTTTTAATTATATTTATGTTATATTTCTTAAGATAAAGTTTGAGGAAATGTGAATCTATTTTGTTCAGCATATTTTTGCTCTATTCGTGGAATATAGTGACGAGATTTGATTGTAAAATCCCAGTACACTGTGCACAGAAAATATGCATTCAAAGTAAATCGATTCGTGGATAGTTCCAGCTCATATTAAATAGCTTCTCCTAAGCGTTTTTCTCTGTGTTCGTATTTCAAGAAGAATTCCAAGAATTTTGATTTGACAAGTTAAGTGGCAATTTGTTTTGTCGTTTACAGTTTGGTTTATATCTGTGAGCATGTAGTTCAATTAATATTAAATTAGTTGACAAATTTTAAATAGCAATAAAATACATTAGATCTTATTATTGTACTAATCAGAGCACTCTTTTTCGTTTTAGAATCCGAACAAAAAACAAAAAGCAATATCACCAAGGACTTCATCAATGGAGAAATAAATTTTGCATCTGTTTCGGCACCACCACCTACAGGTATTTTAATTGATTAAATTTATATAAAATAATCTTTAGAATTAAATGAATTATATTTTTAATTTTAATTTTTAGTCTTCCAAATTTTATTACTGTCATAGTGTCATCAAGCATGCAATCTGTGGAAATAGTTCTTAATCTTCCTAGTAATGAACTATGTGATATTACCTACTAATGAAATAGCTCATTTGATAGTTTATTTCGAATCAGTATTATTAATTATTATTTAAAATTGTTATTTAAAATCTAATACCGATCTAATTAAGAGTACCGACTAATGTCAAAACGATAGTTGTTGTAGAGACCATCTCAACATCAGAAGTTACCAATGGATTGGTAGTTGAAAAGCAGAGTCCTCAAAAAGCATCTACCCCATCGCCAGACGCTTGCAAATTACCGCAAGCTCATAGTTCCGTTTCAAAAGAGAACTCCCCAAATGTGCATGAAAGGAAAGGCAAGCCCAGAAAATTTGGTCGTAAAGACGCCAAGTAAACTTCTTGGATCGAAAGGCTAGCATAGGTGGAGACACTGTCCTCTCCGACGCTCCTGTAAATAGGAACCGTCAAAGGAAAAAAAATTCAAAAAGGATTCCTCCTTCGTATGAGGATAATCATGTTACGATTTAAGTTTTACGGAAATCGATCAAAATTCTTTTCTCATTTTTCTATTTTTTTAATGGTTACGCATTATCGATAACATCGAACTCTGCGCGATCAGCACTCGAATAGCAAATACTTCCGGTGATGCAACTAGCGACATCGTTGTAGGACACCACTCAAGTAAAACTTAAGGTGAAATCTGAGATTTGATGGAGCTTGGCTATTTTAAAAGAATTCTTCATGGTCTTCGTTATATGAGTAATGATTATTACGACGAATAAATTATTTCGTCACGCGAGGATGGAACGATCCTTTCTTTACTTTCTTTAGAATAGCTTAGAATCCTTGTAGCACGAAATCGAGAAATCGTGGCGTGAATTATGGAGCGTGTCACGGCATGAGTTATGGTGTGATCGATGATAAACGATGTAAACCTTGTGATCTTGAGGCAAATCGATTCGAGGCTATAGGAATTTTTTTTCGGACAGACTTAACGAGATCCTTAATGTATCCAGCGTCTCGAGCGTGTTTGAAAAATGTGTATGGGTATGCGTAGTATGTATGTGCGTATTATTGTACGTTCGAGGAAAGAAGGCACAGCGTGTTTACATCTCCACGACTGATTAACTCGGCTGATTTTTCCTTGATCACAGGCATTGACCATTATTGGCCGAAAATGGTGACGAAGATCATCAGCGGGCCGTAGTGAGACCGAATGAGATAGGATATGGTAGCATCGGCGTTAGTTTTCTGTTTCTTAATAGCTTCAAAGACTACGCCGATGCCACCATATCCTATTTCATTCGCTCTCGCTATGATCTGCCAATGATCTCCGTCACCATTCGGCCAAAAGCGGTCAATGCCTGTGATGATGAGAGTGTCAACGAAGTCAGTTAGCCTTGAGTGTTAGTGAGTCAGTTAGTTGTGATGCAAACACGCTGTGCCTTCTTTTCTCGAACGCACTATACATAATGTGGTTTTTTTTCTAAAAGAAAGATGGTTATTTATTCAGCTCCTTTCATTATGATGATTGACACTAATTGTTTAGTATAGAAGTAATTCTTCAATCATATTGTCCTTTATTTTGAGAAATAAAGTGTTAGATATAAAAACGAGGAAAATCTCATTCTTGGGGATAAAGATAAGAGACACGAATAGTTGAAGAAAAAAGTAAAATGTGAAAGAAATTTTTGGTAAAATAGATTTATCCACGAGTATTTAGTGCTAACTAATAGAATTTCTTAAAATTAATTAAATCTACTATTTTAATTTTTAAAAGTTAAGAACTTTTATTTAGATAAGATATCTTTTCAATTCTAGTTTTTATTGTTCTTTTAATATTACTTTACTGTTATTCTTAATATTTAGTTTGACAATTATCTAAATTATTTGTGCCACATAGATTATGTTTTCTTACTCGAATTATTATATGAACAATCTGAGCTATTTTAATCGTCACTATTAATAGTATTCTAAGTTTCAACGTGAGTCTAGGCATAAAACACTCGTTTCTCTAGAATACGTTTACTATAAAGATATTCATCTTACCTCGTTCTATCCATTCAGATCTACGTAACCCTGAAAATCGTGTCGAAATTTTGTGTCCAACGCTTTCGTCAATTTTTTGAGAACTGGAATTTCGAATAAGTTTCGTTCGAACTAATATGACTAACGATAAAAAATGGCAGATAATAGAAGATAATGGTCCAGAGATTCATGGGGCCGACGGGATTCTAGCCACTTGTGCAACATTGGGCAAAAAGTCTGATCTATGGTGTAAACTTCCACGACGTTTCTCGTGTTGCTCAAAGTACAAAACAGGGCACGTTATCGTGTTCAGCCTCTGCTTCGAAGATAATTCATGTAGCCATTATCGTGGTTGCAATTTTTCATATGCGATTATGTATGAAAATAACGTAAGAAAAGTTCAAGCTTTTCTTGTAAAATTAATAATGGAAAGTAATTAGTAATCAAAAAGAATTAAATTAAAAGCTAGTAATTAGTAGAATAACGAGAAGCAATTGGAGTTTAGAGAATGTCTTACAAAAATTAATTTAGAAAAGTAGATAGAAGTTAATGTTACTAGAAGTGAAAGAAATTAGAAAAAAGAAACTTACAGTAGAAAATAAAAAATATATTTTACGTTATATTTAAAAATTGCGGACCAAAATAGTGGGAGAGATAATGTATAATAAATGAAATAAAATATTGACAACAATTTTACTGAATAAATGAAGCAAGGTAACAGATTGATATATTCTAAAAGATATTATCATATAAAATTATGGAAAATATTTGTGTATTATCTTTGCAAAAACAAAAATTCGTAACTCTGAATTTAGTGTCATTTCTTAATAAAGGAACAGAGATACTGGAAACATCTTCGTTAGTCTATCAGAGTATCATTCGATGTTTATTAAATTTCTCATTAACTTATTTTGTTTAAGAAGAACGATGAATCATGCCTCAATATGTTACGTGCACGTAATATCTGTATCAATTTTTCTTGTTTGGCCATGAAACACATACGATAAATCGTGTTTATAAATAATTGCTACAGTTGCAGCTGTGTCAATAGGACGTCGATCTTCTTTTTCTTATTTTTTAGTGAAAAACTAGATATCATTAAAAAATCCAATCTTTCTTCATTCAGTTAAAAAGCCTAAAAAGGTATTACAAGAATTAAAAAGAAACGATATTAATAATAATCCATTAAATGTAAAAGAAATATTTTTAAAATAGGAAAAATGTAGCACTTTTCAATCTGATAACTTTTTTTGTCTACCATACGACCCATTGTCCTTTTATCGTTCTGCGATTTCAATCATCCCGATCGCGAAAATTCACGAACGGCAGCCATTAATTATATTTCTATCTCGCCACACAAATACGCAGAGTTATCAACGCCGCGCGGGACCGTATCGTTATCGTTGAACGTACGATTTATTTTACGTGAATATATTATTTAATCTCGCGTCTCTGTTTACGAAATCGCCAACGGATGTAGCAGTTTAAATTCTAGGATGACATAACCCCCTATATGTAACCTTTAGTTGTTCTGACTGGAGGTGAACTTTTCCAAACCTGACTGGTCGCAACACGGAACTAAAAATAACCGATGGTGTCTCAGATTTCCCGAATTTGATAATGAATATTTATTGATTGCAAATTGACTGGTGGACGCGTACGTTGGTTCATACAATACGTTAGAATGATACATACTGGTTGGGCTAATTGTACGACAACGAGATTCGTTTACACGTTTATTAGTAGTACGGTAACACTAAGTTGAGGTTATACAAGAATGATTAATTTCAAACTTCTAGGATTTAAATTAAAGTAACGATTGCAATTGATAATAAATGTATCTTTTGATAAGCGTACAAAATTTTAGTTATAAATGGCTAAAAATATAAGCATGTTACCTTTTATATATTTGAGGTTAGTTTATTCGCTCGAAAGATGACGAGCAATCTGTCACAAATGCAAACATATTGCTCTACGTGTTACATATTTATCCATTTCTTATCATTATTTGGTATCCATTTTGAATGATAGTCATCTTGAAACACCCTGTATAACACGATATAATTTCAATTTTTTGGTTATTATATTTTTCTTTCGCTTTCTACAAATTTTGTATTCGTATAAAAAATATAGTGTTCAAAATGTTGAATTAGGTTATGGAACGTTCAAGAAGCTGATTTCGTTATAAAAGGTAACGATAATGAATACGAGATGTTAAAAATGGGTGCAAATTTGATTCTATCGAAAGCAAAGATTGTTCTTTTTCAATTTGCGCAAGAATCTAACCAATCGACGCATTATTATATTGCTCGTAATATTAATAATATAGATACGACACGTTCATTCTTGCGAAAAAAATATCCCTTATCATCAATCACGATAAGTTGAGATTACGGCCCATATGTCGTGCATGTGCTCGATGGACAGATAAGTGCGTTACACTGTCCTAGAAAATGAACGGAAGAAAGCTCGTGAAGCGATTGTTCTACCGATCGTGTTTGTGGGTCACAAGAATCCCAATAACCCCAATAACTGTACAAATTAATTGTTTTAGGTGACAAACAAATATAATCTGTGGTGATGAAAAATTCAAATCGTGTTATGAAACTTGATATTCTGCTTTATCTCTGGATCTAAAATAATTTAAATATTCTTCACGAGCACATAAAGGATCATATGGAATATCATAAATGTTAATAGTTCTTTCAATTTTATCTTCTTAAATTGTAATTTGCACTTTCATAGTTTTATAGTATCTGCATAATCTTTTATGAGTCCGAATTTTAATCAGGAATCGTGTTTAAATTGTAGATGCGACACAAGTAAAAGTGAGTGACTCGATTTCGCAGAATAAACAAATAAAAGTAGAAGTATATACTCATAATTCATGTTCTAGCATCTTGAACTGCAGAATGTTGTCAAAATTCTAACATAAGTGTTTAAATTGTTTTAAGTGCTTCTCAAAAGCATTTAGATTTAAGATTTTTATAATCTCCTACTTACATTATAATCACTAGACTCTTTAGTTAAATATCATACTAACTGATCACAATAATGTTCATTTTACTATTAGGACAACGTATCAGTTTAAAAAAGTCATTGAAGTTAATCAATCCTTTTTCTGAGATCACTTTGAAACTTTGACGACAGGTTTCTCTGTTATGATACCGCTGCTGCCACCTATTGTCGTTCTACACAATTCACAACGTAAACAAATAATCTTTCATTAATACCAAATGTCCGTAACGCAACACTCAGAATTTTCATTTTAATCAATTAAGATTTTCCAGTCTGTTTTTTAAACAATAGTCACTATTACACTTCGAAACAAACTTTTCTCGCCGTTTTTCCCGCACTACTGTAATTTCCGCGGCCGATACACGAATGTATAACGCACACTCATTCTTTGAGCATGTAATTATCAGAAAGACCATATGCATAAATCCAGACACGGAAGGAAATGTTTCGTTTTATCAGTGCACTCGTGGCAGCCTCTGTTCGGTAGCACTTGTCGGTTAAGCCTGGATACTTCACCTCGAGGGTCTCTTGTCATTAACAAATTGTAAGGCAGAATCGAGCCGTCGAGTAGCAACAATTAGTCGGTTATCTGTCGCAATAAGCGTGAACTCTGCCGCGTCCTTGACATTAAAAGTGCTGCTATCTGTTGACGAGATGACACACTACGATTACCAAGATTACTCCCCCGGTCGCGAAAAAATTACCATCAAGTAAAATCGTTTCTTTTGAACGATTGTCGATATATATCGGATAACAAACGTTCGATATCACTGTGACATTTCCATTATCGAACGTTTAATCGATTTTAAATAATGGAAGGTTATAATACAGTTGGATTCAAGTTTGGCATCGAATTACTTCAGAATTAGATCTAAATGGATTTAAGGTAATATCAGATCTTGGTTAAACGTAATGAAATCTTGGTTAGATTTAGTACATTATTGAGATTCGATTGGCGCAGTATATTAGGTTAGTATAGAGAAAATCGTGATGAATTAAATTTTGCTGAAACGTAAACAATGTTTGAACTTTTAAGTTAAACATAATTTATACTTAAGGTTGATATTAGTATTACATCTCTAGTTAATTAAATGTTAATTAAATTGAAACAGATGAAACACGAATTATTGAAATGCCGAAGCCATCGGAACTTCATTGAATAGCAATTTCGACAACGAAGTATCGCAAGAATAACAAAACACATGAAGCACATCTAGTGTGAAGAAGGACCATTGGTAATAATTACGAAATAATAATAATTGTGACAGTAAATATTGTACTTACACGTGCGTCTATCTATTGGGATCTTTTTCGTGTCAGGCTAGCATAGAATCAGTAACACAGATCACTACCATTGGTTCGAGATATCGCCATGAAATCGTCACACGTGAAAGATACGACAATCTACTATTTCTTTTTCTTTTACACGTACTTTTAAATTTCGCGTTGACATTTTTTCCTCTACACAACGATGGCAACGATAACTGTCTTACACCTCGTAACAGTGTGTGCTCTTACAAAATCTACTTTATGAAACTAACTAGCAACTATAACCAATTTTTCTCAAATTAATTTCTGACTATCCTTTAAATCTTTCTGACATAATCAAGACGTTAAATTAAATAGAATTCGTGAATACGTTACAATTACTATATCTACTGTCAAGAGAAATAAGAAAAGAACGAATTGAAATATAATTAATTCGATATATTTAATAAAATAAAATATATTTTCCCGTAGGTACTTTATTAAATTTTTCCTGTCGAGGTGTATCGAGTCAACGAAGAAGTCGATATCATTTGGGCTCTCTGACGTTACAGTAGTCAAACTAATCTATATAGGGTGTTATCAAACAGATAACGTTGCCGGAGCTCCTATCTGGAAGCCATATTTTCGATACAATATATAGGTGATCGATATATCCACGTATAGTTCTCAGTAACTGAGAACACCTATTACGGTTTAGTCGAGCCGAAGATTTCGAAATTCCCGTTGTCGATTTCGATCGTGTGTCGTCTGTGAATCGTTTCTTCTTTCAAACGAAATCAGATTTCACGCGGTCTGGAAGCATGTGAGCGCACCTCGCAACGTTTCGAAGTAACGCGTCCGTGCATCGTTGAATCAAGAATTGTATCTAAACAAGCTTAGAGAATTGTGAAGATCGATAATAATTTAACTTAATGGACAAGCCTGGGCCGAGCTTGGGTTCGTTTAACGATTCGTTTAAAGTGAGTAGTTGGACGTGTCTTACATTCACACGAAAAATATCCTTTCGAATGAACTCGTCGCCCAAGATCAGTCGCTTTCGAGGTTGAACGAGAGTCTAGATCAGAGGGCAAGACTTTCTCGCGACCTTTCGTGTGAATAGGGCAAGCTTTCGATCTGAAGGTACATAGTCGAAGAAAGAGAACTAGACAGAGAGAGAAAGAGAGCGAGAGAAGAGACAGTTACAGAGGAGAAGGCTGGAAAATGGCAAACGGATACGACGATTGCTACGACGCATCCTGGCATCTGTTCCCTCCGGATTACGTCGAGGACGAGTACAGGTAAGGTCTTTACAGGAAAAATCGATTTGTCGTCAGGAGGAACTTGGATCGCTTGCTTTTTGTATGAGGCAAGAATGAAATAGGGACTAATGGGGGTTTCCAGAATATTTGATTGTCACGAATGAAAGGAGAAATTTAAAACGGATTTGTTAAAAGAGATTTGCTGGAATGTAAATTTAAGGAATGAGGATAAACCAAATATCGTCGATTGGATAATTATTACAAGCTTTATCCTCCAATATATAATTTATACTTTACAGTTATTTTATTTTTGTAACAAGTAATATTTCATTATGTGATATAGGTTAAAATTGGCTCAGCCATGTTGGTCCACAATTCAAAGTGATTCTAGTAATCTTAATATCGATCAGGTTAAATCTCAAACTCTAACATGGAACTCCTAAAGTGTATAGAGAAAGCGAACAGAAGCAGAAATGTTGTTTCATGATTCCCCTATTTCCTACGGATTTCAAGTAGCTTACGAAGCTTTCGCAACGAACTTAACAAATCAATGCTTTCCAAGATACCGATTTCTATGTCGAGATAACGTTACAAAGAAATCGTAATTTTCTACTTGCTTTACAAACCTGTAATCTAAAGAGATTAAGCAGCGAAGGAAAAAGCGTGGATCACCTGAAAACAAAAAATATGTCGTTGCTGGCGTATTATCTGACTTCTTGCTGATTTTTGCACGGAATTAATCAGCGGACTTGATTGGACTCGAATTTCTCTGTGGAAAAATCGATGGTGCTGTGTGATATTACACTAGCGTTAGCACCGGTGGTCGATTAGCATATCTGATTAGGCGGATAGCGCCGGAAACCGGAAGCGAACGTTTAAGAGTAGTCACGCATATCGGTTAGGCGAATCCTTCGGTATAGAGTGGTACGCCTTGTTACACGGCCGGACACGCGAGAACCGAAAGGGCCCAAGTACCAACACCTGTTGGTTTCCACCATAAATTTCGGATTAATCGTAACGCGAATAGTCGCTCCCCGGGGTTCTACCTGCGAATCCGCGGCGAACTCGAAACTCGTCGATTGTGAAATACCTGGAGCTTCCTAGGGAATTGGGGTTAGACGTCTGTTTGCTTCTTGCGAGATGCGTTATGATAAATATCAAAACAGTATCGTCTGTTGCAAATATAATGCAGAATACAGCTGTATAACTACAGTAACATAGTGGTCTAGAGTATTAGAGAGTACTTGGAAAGTGAGTCCTGGTAAATTGAGTATTTCATAGTGAATTCTAGTAACTTATGGAATATCTTCATATTGCAACAAGTTAAAGAACGTCCCATACATTTCACAGAGAATTCTGAAAATCAGAGAATATTTTACTCCTCTGAAAGGGTAGTCAAGGTTATAAATAGTAAGTTATAGGATAGTTTGGCGTTCCAGTAACTTATTATAGGGAATATAAATTATTATAGGGACTCCTAGTAACTTGAAAAAGCCTCAACGTGGAATTCCTTCCTATTATTATTTTTTAATTATTTTTAGGACCTTGATAACTAATTGCGAGTACTCTACGTGTAATGGAACCTGTATTATCTTGAATAATAGATATACATCATTATTTAGATAAGGGAATTTTCGATTGACGAAACACTTGCTTTCATAACGATTACTGCTATATAAATACTCTTCAACGATTACTCAACGCGTATAATACACAGAAAAGCGAAAAGAACATTTCATCTGCTTCCATTACCACGAATCTTTAATACCCTTATCCAACAGGGATCAACTTTGCGGTGAAACTGAGATTAAAGATTTCTAAGCATCGTTCTATTCGAGGCCAATTAAGAATCGCTTGCATCTCTCAATTAAGATCCACGAGATCGTTCGATGAGATTTTACCTTCGATAAGAACGTGCAGAGTCCTTCGATCTCAACGTTAGATTCAGTCGACACGACCTATTTTCCTCCGATTGCCATCGTTCGATGCAGGTCGATCGATATGTCCACGCGATCCTACTAACAGACTCTGTTTCTCTTTCTTTTTCCTCTTTTTTCTCATTGTCCGTCACGTCTCGTGTGATTAATGATTAGATACATGAGATAACACGGAACGATGCCAGAACATGGCGGACCATTTATTCACGCATTGCTTTTCTCGCTGAAAATTATTTATCGATCCTGATTTATTTAAATCTTTTTCCACATTCAGCAAAATGTTCGGAAAAAGGTGTGAAACGAATATAAAAAGAATGCACAGCATTGAAATATATAAAGCATACATTTCCAATGGCAAATTTAAATTCTTTGATAACAGGAATATTTAAATGTTTCCTTTGATCGAGTTTTAATAAAAATTAGGAAGACCAATATTTAAATAGAAATATTGATTATCACTTTCTGGTAAAATATTGCTACAGATTTAACATCTAGAAATTATTCTTCTTCGAGTCCAATCATTGGATTGGAGAATAATTCTATTAAATATCGTCGTTGTATTTTAATTAACCCAGTTTGCTCACTGTCAAATTGCAATTAACATCGGGGGATGTTGCCCTTTCTTGTAGCAATGACCATTATAATATTTAATTCTTTTAGATGAAATACTCAGCTTCCTATCTCACGGTAAACAATCCTATCAAAGGATAAATAAGAAGTGCCATTTATTATATCAAAAGTGTTATTTGCTGTATTAATTAAGCACTTCGACTCAGCCTTCATACACTCCCTTATCCAAGGTGCTGGAAAAAGAAAAGAACAGCAGATTTTGGAATTTTAGGATTGTTATATTGAGATACATGAAATACTTTGGTGATGTACATAGAGAGTACGAGAGGTGAACCAGAGCACAATATATAAAGAGTGACGTCATGCTGTTGAACTAATTATAAAACAAAAATAAAGATGTCGCTATTAGGACAATTTGTCTAACACAAGGTTTCATAAATGCACTTTACTAGCATTCAGTTTTAACCATCAGTAATAAAATGAATTGCAGATTGTTCGCTGACATCGAGACCATTTTCTAAACCAAGTTCAACAATCACTGTCAATCAGACCACAGACGAAGGTATACCCAATTATACCCAAGTGGAATCTTAAGAACATTCATAGATCAATTATCATCGAATCAATCCTCACACCCAAAGAAACGGATATCTACCGGTTCGACAACCAATCAAGAAACACGTATCATCGACCTCACACCAAACCAGAAAGCTGGCATCCAGGTGAATGGATTCGAAAGCGGATAAAGAAGCCGCAATTTATTCATTATCGTCATTCGGTTATTTAACCAATAGCCATTATAAGTACACCATTAAGCAAATGGCGCCAGGTTCCAAGTCGACAAACCCAATTTCTACATAAGAATTCCAAAAACTCAGATGTACTCATGGCAAAGGAAAAAGAGGTCATCTACTCAAGTACTTTAACAGCTATCAACCATTACAATCACCGTGTCACAAAATGGCACCAGTAGCCAACAGTTATCTCGAGATCTCTCCAAGTTATCGCACAAATTATCTCGCGAAGACTTACTCGGAACCGACATCTACCTTCGTACACGTAAAAATAAATGGGAAGAAAGTCACTTATTTATAGTAACAGGATTCTCGAGTGTACACCGAACTGGTATACAAGAATTACTTTCCACGATCTCACCTTCCGTTCGTGTGCGAGCTGAATGGCCGAAAACTGAATGGAGCCTACCCTTGTCCTGACTCGAATAACTTCTTAAACGTTTCTTAAACGATGGCGGTGGCTGGTCCCTAACGAGCCGTGCACAGTTTGGGTCACGTTTGGCCCCGTGGCGTTCCACCGTGCCGAACACGGGGGTGGAGGCCTTCTCGAAAAAGAAAAAGCCCCGTGAAAGAGGTTTCTACGAAGGCCACCCGTCGAGCCATCTACTACGAGACGTACTACGTTCATTCAACAGTCCAGGATCCGCTGCTCCATTGTGATCGGTTCTTCAATGAACGTAGAACTCCGTTTTCCCGCCGCCATCTTCCCTCTTTCCCCATCGCTTCGATGTTCGCCATCGACGTGAAGAGTCCTCCGGTGCAGGTACAAGCGAGCAGAAAGTGGATTTTCAAGGGTCTTCCATGAGGGTATGCTGTATATGGGAGTTGTTGACAGAGTGTATTCTGGGTATGGATAGGGGTGGTAGGTTCAGGACCTGGAATTCAAAGTATATATATTATTATTATTATTATTCTTATTATTATTATTATTTTAGTCATAAATTGACCGTAGTCCATTTACATAAAATTTCGTATATAAAAGGAAAGCAAACAAATTATACATAATATAACAGCGAAGGGACGTGGTTATAAACGCTTTGTTCAGGAGGAATAGCTTTAATTCTCTGCACTCGAGAGGCACCCTTCAGTCGCTATTTGATAAAATTTTGTAGCTCGATATTAATTAATATATAAAATTTAAAATAATGTAACAGTGTGCGAGGCATCGAAATTAAATAATTCTGCGTGTTAGTTATTATACGATTTCTTACTTACTGCTCAAAAGATATCATCAGCTTTGTAACAGAAAATTTTTCAACTCGTTCCTTTCTTTAGCCAAAAAATGGTCGAGTGCAAAGGGTTAACACCTTGACTGCCACGTTGGTTATGTATAACCGGACATGGTTTCTCCTGTGACACCACGGTCATTGATGAGCTGAGCTCTTGAACTATTTACAATTGTAAGAATTGAAGGAAAATTGACAGTTTGTCGATTGTCAACCGTTACCAAGGCACCATCGATGGTCACCCGTGACTAAAAATTATATAAACGCTCCATTGGGTAAGAACGTTGTCTTATATCATTAATTTATTATTACTTTGCCATTATACGCTTTGAATAATGAAAATACTCCCATGGCGTCCTGAGCGAGACAAGTGTAGCAGTCAAAGGGTTAATCAATAATCATCCGCAATTGTCTTTTGAAAGTTTGTAAAGACCCATAAGAAAAAATCTATACGATTATAAAGAGTGTTTGAGTTAGTAATAATACGATAAATTGGATTAATTAATCCATAT